TTAATACTAATAATAAAATAATAGAGAAAGAAAAAAAAAAGAGAGAGAGAGAGAGAGCGATTATTTTCTTTTAACAAGTTTTAGACAAAATTATTAAAACATTATTATATTTTTAAATACGTTATAAAATTATAATTAAATAAATGAACCAGGTAAGCTATAATGCAGAAACACAAACCTTGTGACTCATTGAATCCTTATTACCAAATGTCGGGTAATTGCTTAATTCAATCCCGTTTACAACAATGAGTATAATAGTGATGATGATCTGTGCCATACATATTGAAAATAATGACCACTTTTTACATTTAAATGTTAAAGTAAACATGTTCAATTAATTTTTTGTTGTATAATTAACAGTAAACTATACATAGAAGACATTGATTTTACATTATTTATTTGACATTAAAATTTTTAAATACATGATAAACTCAATTGTCAAGCAATAGATGAACAACACTGAAAAGTCAGTTCAGAGGTTGCAAAAATAATAAGAAATAAATGTGGAAATAAAATTACAAGTGTACGTGGTCATTGGTAACTATCACATTATCAAACTTATCACAACTTATCAAATTATTTATAAACAATATTTCATAAAACCATCACAACAAATGCAATTTCACTAAATTTTCTTTCTCTCTCTCTCTCTCTTTTTTTTTTCTTTCTCTATTATTTTATTATTAGTATTAAATTGTAAAAATAAATTCAATTCAATCCTTATAAGCTGGAGGGTCGGCCACGACGTGGGTCTGCATAGGATAACTAGGACCGGGTGCGGCGGGTGTGGCGCCATAACTGGGCGGTGGATAGACAGGGATTGTGGGATAAAACTCAGGATCTTCGCCACCTGTGCTGCGAATGAATGCCAGTCGGAGTTGTCTCCGGCGTAAGTCCCGGGCGTACAAAAAGGCCAGAGTTGTGATGACAGCATCGATAGTAACCGTAAACCAATAGGCGGGCTCCAGTGCCGCACTGCCGATACTGGCACAGGTGGCCAACAGCATCAGCACCGCGTAAGTCATTGTCAGACAATGGTGTTCCTTATAGGCGCCCAATAGGCCGAGTAACTCAAACATTATGCTTATGGTGCCAATGGTGGCAATCACCGCTATGGCCACTCTCTATATTTTTATTACAATGTAGTCATTTAATTAGATATTAAGGGCATTTATATTTTTGAGAAATTGCCTACATTTTCCTACAACTTTTACGATGCTCTAGGTTTTATTTATACTATAAATTACTACCAAATAGTAATTGCCCTACATACCTTTCCATTGCGAAAATCGACATCGGAAATGTGACCAGGGTCGTGATTTTCAAGCACCGATATAACGGCGCACAACGCAATCACCGCTATTAGGGTTGTTATGATCCCAATCAAACAAAATGAAAATAGTGTCCACTTTTTGCACTTAAATGTACACAAATCGGATTCCCTTCCGTCCCTTCTGTCCATTTTGTTTAAATGATGTTTTATTTCAATGTTAATTATAAATATTGTTCATTTTTTCATAATGAAATAAGATGAATTAACATTTTATTTTGCAGTCAAACACCTACTTTCATAAAATAATATATAACTCTTTTGTTTGGCAATTGTTATCAGTTTTGTATCCATCCCTATGGTGTTAATTACATTTTCTACAAATTAATAATAACTGTATATTTTTACAAAATAACAATGCAATAAATAGTAGACAAACAT